TTTGTATTTCTAGTTTCTTTTTTTGTTAGGTTCCTTTTGTACCTTTGACTCGTTCCCGTGTCTCCTCTGAGAGTTAGTCGTGCCCTTTGTATTTATCTGTTTCCTTAGTCTTGTCTGTGTCTCCTCCCTCTGCTCCCTGTTTTTAGTCAGTCTGCGTCTCAGTGTGGGTTTCTCGTGTCTTCCTGTTTTGTTTTGATAGTCACGTGTCCTGTGTCCATCACGTTCAGTTGTTTGCTGTCTCGCCAGTTAGATCATGTCCAGCCCTGTTTCCCAGGTGTTTCCCCTCTGCACTTATTCCCTTTGTATAAATTGTCTGCATTTCCTTCTGTTCCTTGTCGTGATTTCTCTTATCCTCCACGTCTGTGTGCGTGCCGTCTGCTTAATATATCTCAGTTTAGTTTCCTTATGAGTTCCTTGGTTACCATATTTGGTAATTCAGCAAAAAAGCTACATTTCAGTTTAGTTTTGCCTGTGAGTCTACATTTGGGTTCTCAACTCTGGCTGCTTCACACAGTTACATGACAGTTGTATTTATGTGAAATTTTGTTTTTGATAGCATAGCATAGTCATTCTCTAAGCCAAATAACACAACACAAAGCATGACCTCAAAATATATGCAGTGATTATACTTGATACAGTATCTGTTGCATGATTCAAAGAAGTGTGAAGGACACACCTTAAACCACTCATCACCTTAAACCCATCTGCAGCTTCTGTTTTTTCCTGTCTACTTTCCTGTTAGCAGTCAGTTGTAGATAAGTGAATGGATGAACTCAAAAAGACATCACCACGTGTAATTTTAAAAATATTAGTTGAAATTTGAAAGATTTTCTCTTCATTCTTTTATTTACTTTATTTAAAGGCCACTGTGCTGACATGAAGAGTTGCAGCAATCAAAAAACTGGAATCTCAGCACTTCAGATTTTTGAAATATTTTCTGCAGTTCCATGTTTTGAGATTGCATGTTAAGTTTTGCCATACAAGGAGTGATTTTCATTGTTAACAGTTACTACAGCTTGGAGGAAGTGAAACATGTCAACATACAAACTACAGGCATGCCTGCAGCGTCTTCCACAAAATCTCATTTTGATCTGTTATTTCTTTTGATTTTATCCTGCTCCATTTGCCTACAGTCACATACAGTCCTGTCAGTTATAACAGTTTTAGCTTTTAAACTATTAATTTT